TAAAGGATAAAGTATAGTTAATAATATAAAATAAAGGATAAAATTAAAATAAATTAATATTTGGAGATTTAAGTAAATATTTATCGATATATATATTTTTAATAATAAAAGAATGATAGATAGTGAACCCAGAACGAAGTATAGCTTCGTCCCTAGTCACTTAACAATAATAATAATAATACCGTATAAATGTATATATTGTTAGTAATATTCAATCAAATTTGGATAAAATTATATGCATTGAAACTTGTCGTAATAATAATAATAATAATAATAATAATATGTTACAATTTTCATCATGACATGTGTTGGTTAAAACATCATGGTTATGGTAGCAAATTAGTATTAATATTTGATGAAGACGTATTGGGAAAAAGGAAGGCGTTTTGTTTAATGCTAGATGTTGAAAGAAATTTGCTAACTGCCCTAAACCAAAATAGCTCTAAAATACAGATTACTTTTATTTATTTATTTATTTATTTCTATATAATGTTCATTTTGGCCCTCAAATTATATTAATTTTCTTACCTTGATACTTAACTTTTCTCTTTCATGTTGTAGTACTTGAACTATAATGAGTATAGTGAGGGTGTTTAAATTTTTTTCACGTGTAATCGACTCTTGAGTTCACTTTTGATCTTGATTAACGATAAATATTGTAGTAGAAAGTATTGTGTAATCGACTCTTGAGTTCACTTTTGATCTTGATTAACGATAAATATTGTAGTAGAAAGTATTCGATCGTACCTAGTCTTGAACGATGGCAACAACCCTATCTTTTGACTAAATTAGAACCCTAAACTATGATTACATAATTATTAGCATCTAATCAACTTGAATAGATATTTTTTTAATAGATAAATTTTTAATTGTTACTTTTGGCTTTTTTTTAGTTGAAGACTTTCTTCCAATGAAAAAATAATTATTATTTTATTAATTAGTCTTTGCAATAACTTGAACCTGAATTTGGAAAAATAACATCCTTTAAATGAATTATTATTAAATATTAGTTTAATTAGGTGAAAAAGTGGCTTAATAGTGGATTTAAACCTTGTTTACTGTTTAGCCATAAAACTCCCATTCATAACAATCAATCAATCACATCTTCATCACTATCAATTTCTTATTAATGTTAGCAAAGTTGACTAAATTATACCTAGAGAATTAAAATTGAATTATTGATTTTTGAAAAAGAAGAGTCTAAGTTCATTATTATATTAAATTATAATTTTAAAATATTTGGAGGGGACAAAGTGGAATTGTATCATTTTAATTTTTAAGAGGGCTGACTTTGACACGAATTAAAAGTGTAATATCTCAAAATGAAATATGACAAAATTATAATATTTTTATTTTTTAAACATTGATTAAATATATATCTCGATTTATTAAATTCGTTAATGGAATTAAAAGATTCAACCTTAATGTACCATATGCATAATTATTTTAAATAATATCAATGTAATAAAAATATTACATAACGCATGAATCAAACTATTTCAATGGTCAAGAGATCGTTGTTATTGCTTGAAATCTTGGTTTTGAATACCACGTCTACATAAGTGTATGAATGTTTAATCTCAAATTATTGAATTTTTCGAATAAATTCTACCTTATATACATCCTATATAAAAAAATGCATAAGCAAGTTTAAAATATTACCATGTGAGCTTTTTTGTAAAATTGATTATGAAAAAAACATAAAGGGTACAACAACATTCAAAATTTATTTATAATATATAATATTTGTTTATATATATATATATATGTGTGTGTATATGTTTTTTCAGAAAGAATTATATATATAGTTAGGTAGGTAAAGTTTTAATAACATTAATTAGTCGGCCTAACAATACTTGCTTTTAACCTTTTGGATTAATGGAATCTTAACGAGAAATAAATTAGTATAAATTTTGTTATTAGGAATAGGGGAAAAACATGATAACATCAACACTAAACTGATGACTAATTTTTTTAATTAATCATTAGTATCTGATCTATTGACTGACTAATTCAAATCCGATACTACAGAGGTGAGGGCGACCAGTTTGCTTCATTCGCAAACGTCAGGGTTCAAACCTCTGACCTTACTTAAAGAATTTAGTATCTCGTCCTATTAGACCAATTGATTTTTGATAAATTGATAATTATTTTAAAAATATTAATAAAATATAAATTCGATTATAAAATGACTACACGTCATAAATAAAATTTTAGAAAAACAATTAAAGCATGGCATAAAAAATACGAACATAAGTAATAAACTGATCAAAATCTACACAAATGAATTTTAAAAATGTTACACTTCGATATTGTATTGTATAATTGCAATTATTAAATTATATTTTCTAAAATATGATTTTCAATACAGATAAATTATTAGGTTAAAAATGTAACTTGTTCTAACGTTGCCGGGGATAATTCTTTAATAGCATTCAAGTCTGGCACTCTGTTTTACCAATAGCTTGTTTGGTGGGAAAAAGAACGAGATTTTAATAAAAAAGAATGTTGCGGTCAAAAACCAACTAGTTTAGTCAACATGTTCCACCTACCAAAGTCCATTCTTTTAATGAAAAAAAAAATTAACTCTTATGTAAATCAATAGATCCCGGGTGAGGATAATAGTCTCTTGAAAATTTAAAAATACTATATATTTTAGATTTTATTATGTATTTTTATTAAAAGTATTTTTTACCTCTCGCGATTTTATAAATTCGTCATTTTCTAAAATTATAAAAATTTATCTCTAATATAAAATCATGCATTCATTACTGTTTATATGTTTGAAAGACGGGAATAGTCAAATACAGGGTAACGGGATTGTAACTAAATTTGGTGGTTTATGTATATATGAATTGCATCTATTTATTTAAAAAATAAATTGAATTTTAAAGTATTTATATTGTATCAATCGATTTCTTCCAGCAATTTACCATTAGTGTTGGATCAAAACTGATATAGAATGTATATTTTAAATAGGTGAATCAAATTTTAAAAATTTTAATGGGTTAAAATTTATTTATACGGTGTAAAGCTATTTTAATTTTACACATATTTAGGATTGTTAGATGAACGCAAATAAATGGTTGAGATTAAGTTATTTTTTCCAGTAAATGTTTTCTCATTTCCTACTGTTTCACTCATCCACATATTTTCACTCAGCTAACGATACTAAACATGTGTATAACTAAAATAGTTTTACATAATATAATTGGATCGTATCTCAATTTTAAATACGTGATTACTTATTGTATGAATAATTTGAATTTAAAATGATAAAAAATATAATATCATTAAAATTTAAAAGATTATTTTTTTAACATGTCATATTATCATATAAGAACAAATATTTAACGTAAAAATTGACGATAGATCAATAGAAGTGTGAAGAAAAGAGCATGACGGTCGGATGGTAGTTAGATGATGAACGGTGGTGATGAAGAGAAGAAGACTATGATTGTGTTTTAGGTTGAAAAAAAAAATGGCTGTCCCTTTCCCATATATATGGGGTAAGGGGGAGGTAAGATAGTAGGCTACCCCCAACATCAGGTTGAGGGCAGCTTCCGTAAGAGACCTCCGAATTATGAAATGCCCTCCGTAGGACCCGATCCCCACGACCTCAAGGTTAAGAACCTTGTGCTCTACCAACTGAGCTGGATGGTCATTTCGTGTTTTAGGTTGAGTTTTGTGTATATAAAAAATAATGAGAGTCAAATGTTGTTGAAACTGTTTCAAACAAAAAAAATATTTAGCCCATTACAATTAATAGGCTTATATAGCTCAGATTGATCAACAAAATTGGAAAACAAAGCCATAGAATAGGCCTAACAAACTATCCTAAAAAAACCCAATTGCTAATAAGGAACTCGTGATATATTAAAGCAATAGCGCTAAGCAAACTCATGATATATTAAAGCAGTCATCTTCGACAATTTGGATGCTAAATAGTAATGTGTACATGAAGACACAGTCATGCTCTATGCCAACTCATAGCGTCAACTGACCTGGAGGTTCAATCTTGTAAGCACGTTGTTGCTCGAGTGTAGCAGAGCATTTGACGGTTCAGAGTTCATTTCTCGCTGCAACTTACAACCAGGGACTGTTCCATCTTCTGCGATCAGAGTCGAATGGCGGTCTAACGGAAGTGTCACTCTTGAGGCTCTTATGCAAGATGGAATCACCTACTCTCAGCTTTTGGTCCATCCAAGCTCTCGTTGATATAATGGTGCTAACCAAGCACTTTACTTATCCATGCAAATGACAGGTTATTGAGTTAATTCTTGTTGATAGGAGAAATGGATTAGTGGTTTTGGCTGTTATCTCATCGGATTTGATTAGAAAGTTAAAAAAAGTAATTGGTGGAAGAGAAAGAGACAACAAACGGTTTGAAGATGATGATAAACAATCATCTGAATAGACAGAGAGAGGAGGGGGGAGAGTCCCCTTCTCCAGCCTTTGTAAGGTGGTTTATATATAAGCCCTCAGTGTTGGTATTGAGCCTAGGACAATGATAGCTATTTATAAGTAATCATGTGGCTATATCATCAATAGGATATAACTGGTAAGGATATAAAGCTCAGAAGTCTCTGAAAAACTTCAAAGACCTCAAGACTCAATAATGATAATAGAGGTGTGATTTCGAAAAAAGATTAGGTGAAGTTACAACGATATATTATTATATTAAAATTTAGAACTTAAAATAGGGAACTTGTTAAAGAAATATGTTGTTCCAAAATTGGGAGTTGGACTAGACAGCATAACAAGTTGCATCTTCTATGCTTGCTACAACAACCAGGCCCAATCCTAGGAAGCTTACCAACCAGCCAAGGGTCCAGCTGAAGTAGCAGCGCAGCAAAGTCACTGTCACAGACCGACAAACAAACACCATGTGAGAGCCACAGGGAGCCGACGTTGTCGGTTCAATGAAGTATCATGGCGAGTCCAAATTAACTCAAAAACCAAGACTAATACCAGATAAAATCAATTTCTTTCCACCTCCCACATCTCTCTTCTTTTTCATATTTTTTTAATGTGATATCATCGTTTCCAAGGGCAAAAAAGAAAGGGTAATTCGAGTTACATCAACATTGGTAGTCTAAGTCACGTTTCTAGTTCATACTATTATATCCTTCAATGGAACAAAGCAGCTAACAGGGGCATTATTGTTATTGTTGTTCTCATTATCGTTGTTCCCTTTGTCTCGAATAACACGGCCACCGTACCCATTGCATCCGCCATTGCCGCTGGTGTTGTTTACCTTGTTGAAGTGATACACATTGTACGCTGTTTGTTCCAATGTTCCTTCCCTGTACACAAACATGCCATCGTCTTCCTCCATGCACCGCCATTTCCGGGTCCGGTCATGGCTCCGGTTCAGCGGCATTCCCCTGTCCAGCCCCCACCCAAAAAAAAAAGAATCAGTGTAACCTATTAGTTTAATAGAAAGTGATGGAGCTCGAGAAACATTTACTTAATTTAATATCCAGGACTCTGCATGAATTTGCCTGTTGAGATGCTTCAAGAAAAGCCTGCTAAAACTATTAAAGAAATTCCCAAGGGTCACACACATGCACTGCACACCTCTTTCAGAATGAATTAAACTATAAGATATACATCAACCTAGTTGCATTTATTTAATTTTCACTTAACAGGTTTGAAACTTCCTCACCAAGAAACATATTACTTACATTACCCAAAATTTTAATTTTCTCCATGTTTATATCGAACAAAAAGACAAACAGTATATAATATACATAAAAACATGAATATGATCCGGAGAACATTCATAAACAGAGGTGTGATGATATACTATAATCGTTCAAGAATATTCCATACATATATGAACATGAATATAACCTCCTACTAAATTGAAAAAAAAAATATTTTAGTCCCCTAAAAGTTTATACAATTATAAATTAAGTTCAGAATTGAATACGTTAAAAACATTTTAGGCCCAAATGGAATGAATTCACAACACACAGTAAATGTGGAACAAATTTTTGAACTTTCTGTTTTGGACATATTTGATATTCGAAGAATCCAAATTAGCAGAAAAGAAAAACGGATTGGTTGCTTGGTTGAAGAGAGAGAGAGAAAAAGAAAGGGAAAATAATGAGGTACCTAACGTGGAAGAGTTCAGAAATGTCGCACATGTCGAGATAAAAGTTAACGGCGTCGAGGAAAGCGCGGTAGGTGTAAATGTGGAGCCCATCGATCCTGGGGTAAGGCAACTTCGGTCTAGGCGGAGGTTCACCGCTGCCACCACCCGTCGTTGAACGGAAGCAAGACGAAGACTTGGACCGCCACGAAACCCCAGGGGACGCCATGTAGACGTATTCCTTCCAGGAGAAGGCGGAAGAACTTCCCTGGATCGGAGGGAAACCGACGAAGCCCATGGTGGCCATGATGGGGTCGAGCTCATCGTGGGTCATTAGGGGTTTGAAGGTTTTTGTGTACCAAAGGGCGAGCTTTCTCATGCTGAGTCTCATGCAATCCTCCATTAAAACTGGGATTTCGTTTCCTGGGAAAAAATATTTTCTTTTTCTTTTTCTGCGATTGGGAAAGATTTGATTGCGTTTTATAGAGGAAAGATGGGAAAATATTTGTCATGGCACCATGATTTTTGGGACCGCATGCTCTGCATCATAAACAATATATAAATCATTATAATCAATATATTTTAACAAAACTAATTATAATTCAGATGGATCCAAGATCATAAATAAATTTATTATATTACCTACACGTATTACAAGATTGTATTACATTTATTATTTTATTTTATTATTGTCTTAATTTTATTATAGTCATTGAATTATTTAGTTCCGACGTCGGCAAACAACAATTCGCCAAGTGAAACCGGAAGAAATCGCTGCGCCTACTACACCAAAAGTCAAAGCCAAAAAAAGAACACTTCAGCTTCAATCTTCATCATCGACTGTTCCATTGTATACTTCCAGTCGTCGACCTCAACTCTCACACCGACGTGGTCCCCTCCGAACATTCAGAGTGAGTTCATCCTCCTTTCGGCAATTCCCACATCCATGAAGAAGAAGAAGGTAATGTCTTTGCTACAGGCTCTGTGCGTTGGTGGAAGCAGTATATAGAGGCTGTTCGTGAGTTGAAGTCTTATGTGTTTCACCAAAAATGGTGTCTTTACATGAATTATTCAGTTTTGAAGTTTAAAGCTACGGAGAAAGAGTTAAAAAAAAAGGAAAGTCTTCAACGATAATTGGTGTTTTAGCATAAAGCAAGTGACTCATCCGCCGCTGGAGGCATTAACGAGTTACATCTTTGTTGCGAGAAGACGGTGAATTTAAAGTTCGGATTCTATTGGGGGATGTCTAGTGTGATTAACCCTTTTTTTCTCTCTTTTGCAACGAAGGAGAATGCAGCGTTTTGAAGGTCATCAACGGTGGGCTGAAATGAGATAAGGCCCCAACGTGGGCCTGAACCATAAAAAAACAAAAGTTTGGGAATTGGTTTCTTCCTCGTTCACGCGTTTTATTTCATTTTCATTGCCAACTAAGCTTGTAAACGAACCGAACGTATATGAACGGAGGTATGTTCATGTTCGTTCATTTAATAAATAAACGAACAAAATTTTTTGTTCATGTTCGTTCATTAAGAAATATATATAGCTTGTTCATGTTCGTTTATTTAATAAATAAACGAACATAAACGAACACGAATGAATGAACATAAACGAACATAATAAACGAACACAAACGAACAGCACAAACACAAAAAAAAACTTATTCGAACACAACAAACGAATGTAAAAAAAATAAACAACAAGAATAACAACTTAAAATTCATTAATATAACCTGTAACTTTAGAATTAATTTGTTCGAATACGACAAACATATAACATATATAAATCATAAATAAGTTATATGAACATAATAAAGTCTTAAAGTTAATTTGTTCAACAAAACAATCTTCTGGAAATCCAAACAACTTCAATAATCTTCGTAATATATTCAACTTGTCATTTGTTCGAACATAAATGAACGAACATAAATGAACGAATATAAACGAACATATAATCAAACATTCACGAACGTAAATAAACGAATGAGTCATTTATTTATGTTCGTTCATTTAATTAAACGAACGTAAAACCTTATTCATGTTCAATGAATATAAACGAACTTCCGTCCATACGATTCATTAGCAACTCGCTAAATGTTAAGTTAATTTACAGGCCTATTAGCATCACCTTGCCTTCATTTAGTGAAAATACTTTTGCTTGTTCCTCTCTTGTTTCTCTTTCTTTTTTTGGGTTTCTCTGGATTCATTACTCAAAAGAGAGAAAAATGGAAAGTATCCGTTGAAAATCATGGGACCAGGAGGCTTCCATTCGATGTCCGATCAACCCAACCGAAAATTGATTTGGGAGTAGCTAAGAATTGTCCGGTTCACTAGAAATTCTACGAAGATGTCGCTGAGAATTAAGGCGGTGGTCGATGAGTTCGTGGAGAAGCTGAAAGAGGCGTTGGAAGCCGACATACAAGACAGAATAATGAAGGAGAGAGAGATGCAAAGTTACATCGAGGAACGCGAGCGTGAAGTTGCCGAGCGTGAAGCCGCATGGAAGGCCGAGCTCTCTCGCCGCGAGGTCAGTTCCCCCCCCCCCCCCCATTCCATATTAACAAAATGTAAAATTTAAGTTGATTGATTTTTTGTTAACTGGCATCAAAATAACTGCTTGATTGCCCTGCGTTGCAACTGTTTCATGCTTTGCCAAAGTTCATGGAAAGTGAGATTGAAGACGGTCTTTGTTGATTGGGTTTTCTTCATTTATCTTGAATTTGGGGTTTTGAATAATGGGTTTTTATTGTCTTTATTCGTTAATTCTTAATGAGTGGCTAATTTGCTCAAATTCTGGGCGTATTAGGTTGATTAAGTGAGGTTGATAGGCATAGGCATCCCCATGCCTTGCAAGTAATGGGAAGTAGACCCTGACTATATCCAAAGTCGAGCCGGGTCGGATTCCTAAACAGAGGCAAAGCTTTCCTTGCATTGTTTTTGCCACCCCCAAGACTCGAATCCAACACCTTGCTTAAGGACATTGAGCTCCTTACCACTCTACCCAACAAGCATTGGTGATTAGTTCGATGATCTGTAGACGTACAGTCACTACCATTTTTTATGGCTCTGAAAGTACAGCCACTACTGTAAGGTTATTTCTGATATGTTTCGTTTGCTCATGAGTGATTTAAAGTACATCCAAACTTGTACAGCCACTACTGTAAGGTTATTTCTGATATGTTTCGTTTGCCCAAGATCGGATACTTCAAAAAATAATAATAATAAAGTATTGTGATTTAGGTAAAGATGATTCAAATCCGAACTTGTAGTGGTTCGATTCTCTGTATATGTATAGTCACTGGTCTAAGGCTATTCCCTGTATTTTTAGCATGCATGTGAATGATATAAACTACGTAATTGAGTTATGCATGATGGTAGTATGAAAAAGTACTTCATAGTTGCACAAGTGTATGCTTGTGTTCTCTTGCTGTTGCTTGACTAGTTTTTGTTATTAGGAACATAACAATTATCTTCCAGGCAGAGATTGCCCGACAAGAGGCTAGGCTGAAGGCGGAAAAGGAAAACCTCGAAAAAGAGAAGAGTGTTTCAATGGGAACAGCATCGAATCAAGATAACCAAGATGGGGCACTGGAAATCACTGTAAGTGGCGAAAAGTACCGATGCCTCAGGTTCGCGAAGGCAAAGAAATGAGGCTTGTATGAAGGAGATGAAGAAGTTTTGATGTCTTCTCCTAGATTTTTGCAGCCAGGTTGCCATATTTAGAATCTTATTCAGTTTATATGCATTGATTATATATACATACGTAGGTTTGCTTTCCGACACATCCTATTGCAAGTTTCAAGTATACGATATTCGATTTTCAATTATGAAAAGCAAAATCAAAAGTTGTTTCTGTTCAACCAAAATAAACAGGTTGACATCATTTTAACATTTCTTCTGTTCAACCAAAGTGCAGATTTGGGGATGGGCTGCTCTTATTTCTTCAACTCCAAATTGAGATTCTGAATATTCTTTGACATAAAATAAAAGCATGAGTTTTTGAAATTTTTAAATTGATAAAATTATCATTTATTTTTCATTATATGTTTTTTATTATTATTATTATTATTATTTACTTTTGATTGATAGTTATATGTTAACATGAACATGAATTGTGTTGAGAAGTGTTTGCGGGCTCTCAATGTTTCATTTTATGATTAAAAAATCCTTATATGGAGTATTCATCGTTTGTCAACTGATGATTTTTATTTATGGAGCGGTCTTTTTATCTTAAAATAAAACATTGAGGGTCCGAGTATTCTAAAGAAAATAGGGTAAAAGACATCATTCTTCACTGAATTTTACTCTCTTATTTCACTCATCGTACTTTCAATTTTTTCAATTTCCTCACTGAACTTTTAAATTGTTCCTATTTTGCTCATTTTGAATTATTTTATTATTTTTCTATGTTGTGGTTTTTTTATTATTTAATATATAAATAATTTAAAATATAAAATAAAAATCGATGGTGGTTGTCCACTGTTTATTGACGTTGGACGTCACCGTCGACCGCCGTAGATGGTAATTGTTTCGATCCCAAATTTTATGGGTTGTTTTGCCTCGACCCCCTGAGTCTGAACCAGAATATGTTTCGAAGTCTACGAATTAGAGATCAAAAGTGAGGAAACCGAAATGTTTATATCGAGATTCATGGGTTTTGGGACATCTTTCGGTGAAACAACCACCAGATTGGGACTCGGGGGTCAAGGCGAAGCGACCCATAAAATCTATGATCGAACGGCTAACATTTGCAGTGGTCGACAATGGCATCCAATGCCAGTGAACAATGGACGACCACCATTTGTTTTTATTTTATATTTTAAATTATTTTTATATTTTAATAATAATAATAATAATAAATGCCACATCATATGAAAATAATAATAATAAAATAATAATTCAGAGTGAGCAAAACATGAATAGTTCAAAAGTTCAGTAAGGAAATTAGAAAAATTGAAAGTACGATTAGTAAAATAAGAGAGAATAAAATTCAGTGAGGTGTTGTGTAATTTACTCAAAAAATAATATTAAAATGATAATTTTGATAAATGTTGGAGGTTAATTTTATAATATGCCTAACTTTTTTTTTCTGTTCCTCTAAATAATTTTTCATCATCTTTATTTTTTTCTTTAATTTTTCCTCACAATTTACTAAATAAGCCAAGCAACCTCTGTAATCTTGAAGGCTAAATGTGGTGTTCCCACCTCTATGGGTGCGCCAGTTCATTTCCACCCTGTTCTTATCTGTCCTTATTGTCTCCAATTTGTCTTTCCTCGTAAGCCGTCACCCATGTTTGTGTTTATACCGGAACCGACACGAACACAAAATTTAATTGTACTCTCAATCCCTGTACTTTCACACATTTAAAATTTAGTTATTCTATTATGAATTTTATAAACGTAATCTTTCTACTCTTTTGATTTTACAATAAAGTCCGACACTGCTTAATACTCTAATTCAATTAGATTATGTGCTTTTCTTCAAATCATCTTCACTTTATTACATTGCTTTGAATTATTGAATTGTACTAACTATACATATAATATGCATCATTAATATGAATAGACAATGTATCTACCTTGATTAATGATTAATCATCATATAATTTCACTACTTAATTTATCTCAAAATAAATAAACAAAAGTAAGTAATTTATAAATAATTGTCACGTATCATGGGGACTATATTATTAAAAATGATAACTACGAACTTTAAATCTTGATTGTAAAACAGATATAAAAATAAGATATATTTATAGATTTTGACTATTTTAAAAAAAATCATTGAATTCTACTCAAATCAAATCGAATTTGCTTAATTGGATAGTCATACATTTAAAAATTTCAAATCCTCACATTATTTTAGTTTTTTAAAAATATTTTTTATTGATGATCTAATTTAATAGTATTGAAATTTTATAAATTTAAATTATTAAATTTTAATATAAAATTTTTCATATTTATTGATATAAAATTATATATTTATCCGACACGGGGCTAGCTAGTATAACGCTCACCACCAACTTCCACGGTTTATTTTTCCTTTAGGAAAAGGGAATAAAAACAGGCTGTGAACACTAACATTTCACCTCATTATCTGTTTCATGATCATCCTCTCTTGTTTCCCTTAGCAGCAACGCCACCATTATCAGCCGTCGCTAAATCTCTTTAAACCTTTCTCCTTTCCTGCCATTAGACCAGCCATGAGCTCCATTATGCAAGGCTTCCAGAAAAACACTGCACTCCCCGTAACGCAAACCGAATCCAAAGACCACCTCCTAGCATCCTACGGCCCAGGGCGGCTACGACGGCGGCTCTCCGCTCTATCCCTCAAATTACAGCCCACCTCTTCGCCGGATGCGAAGTCATGGACATTCCCCAGGCCAAAATCTTTGTCCTCCATGGGAGAGTACGCCGGTAGCTCGATCAGAAAATGGTGGGACTGGGGCTGGTCCTGGGTTCTCTCCAAAAAACCCATTTTCGCTAAGGACATCGAGATGAACGAAGAAGAAACCAGGATCCTTGGGTGCCATAACAAAGGCAGTTGGAGGCATGTCTTTTACAAAGTCAGATCTGAGGTCAGAAAACTCGTGGGATCTCATCATAAGGTTGGCCTCCCACAAACTTGCAGGTACAATCCTTTAGATTACTCCAAGAATTTCGATGATGGAAAGAGTTACACCTATGGTTGAATCTTGAAGAATTCGAATTCTACTGTCGATAAAGCTTCCTTGCTTCCAGATTTTCAGATAAAAAACACAGTAGAATTCTGGGTTTAAGCTTTCGTTAATTTGTTTTACATCATACAATGCAAATGTTCTCATATAAAGTGATATTGCTTAGAATCATCTATTAGCGACGAAAAACCGAATTGTCACTATAAGTTTTCCCCCTGCAGGATTAAGTTGTACAAGTATTGTAATAGAAATCTAGTTTCTGTGTTTGCATGAGATTGAATTTGCCAATAATTAGTGTTAATAATTTGTTACAGAGGTGTAATTTTAAGAGTTATACCAACATATTGGGTCGCTTTCTATATAAACGTCGGTGCAAATGTTTACTGAACCAGAATTGCTGATTCCAGATTTTAATTATGGATTTAGTATTAGATAAATTGTTTAAAAAATTAAAATATATCATTTAATTAAAATATTATTACAAATTAATAACAAATAGATAATTGTATTGTTGAAATTAAAATATACATTTAACGTGTCTTGATATAATAAATATTTTTAATGCTTAAAATTTATATATTTTTATTAATTTTAGGGTATATTTCATGTTTACCGCTTAAACTAATTCTTTTAGTCCGTTTTGATATCAAAATTTTTTTTTCCCAAAATCATATCAAATATTTAGCTTAAGTTTCAATTTAGCACCTCACCGTTAAAATTAAAACAACTTATGAAGTTTTTTTTTTATTTTTCTCAATGATGACATGACATTACTTATAATGACACGTTAATATTACCGTTAAAAACTTAACGGTGTAGGACTAAATTGAAACATAAACTAAATGTTAGGTATGATTTAAAAAAATAAAGTTTAGGTACCAAAACGAAATAAAATTAATAATTTAAATCTAAACATGTTGTTTACCATTAATTTTATCTTAATACTAAATAATTCAATATTTGAACTAAACCCTTACATCTATTATTTTTATATACAAAATTTAAGTTATTATTTAATAAACAAAATGTATATTAAAATAACTTTCATGTAAAATTAAAATACTAATTAAGACCTTTAATATATTTATCATTTTTATTTAAGATTTTGGTTATTATTTACATAGACAGTAAATTTTGTTTTATATAATTTATTTATTTTAATCTCAAATTATATAATCTAAAATTTAGATAAAACAAATAATACTAAAATAAATAAGGTGTAAAATAACATAAAAATAATCCAATATTTTATATAATTGATAACTTTTTCCATTTTTGTTGGTAAAGAAACTGCACATGTCCTACATGTGTCTTCTATTACTTCATGCCAAGTTTTGCCAACTAACAAATGGCTTTTAGTTGGATTGACCAAATAAATAAAGGGTAAACTAAACATTTAGTGCTTAAACTATTATTTTTATTACATTTTGGTACTTAATTTTTTTTTCAAAATTATATCTAACGTTTAGTTTATGTTTCATTTTGGTATCCTATAGTTAAAAACTTAACGGTGATGTTAACAAATCGACATAAGATAATGTCACATCATCATCGAAAAATTAAAAAAAAAATATCACGCCAATAATTCTATTGATTGTTTAATGATGAGATACCAAATTAAAACTTACACTAAATGTTAGGTATGATTTTCTAAAAAAAATAAAGTATAGACACCAAAACAAAACAAAAGCAATAGTTTAGATACTAGACATATAATTTACCCGTAAATATAAATAAATAATGATAGGAACTTCCTAGCTTCTAAAAAGTAATAAATTTTATTATTATGTATTGATGACGTTGCATTTCATATTGCTTGTAACTTGGAAGTTAGATCTACCATTATTAAATTTACCAAAGAATTAAGTGTGTATATATATACAAACGAAAGTATGTCATGTTCTTAATAAAATAAGAGTTAATTGCATCATATGTCCCCAAACTATTACCTTTATTTTAAATTGATCCTTAAACTTTTGAGAATTCTAATTTCATCCCTAAACTATGAGTCTCATTCTAAATTAATCCTTCAGCTTTTGAAAATTTTAAATCAATCCCCAGACTTTTGAATATTCTAATTTCATCTCCAAATACATCCAAATATGTAATTAGTGTCAACCATAATTTAACCTAAATTTTATTTTATTTTTCATATAATAATATAACTTGACCTAATGATTTACCTAATGATTTTATTAATAAGGGATGTGATTAGTATATATGTATAGTTTAGGATTTGAACATAATTCATTCTATTTATAAAGCTCAAGATTCAAACACTGCATATTGTTTAAAGAACTTAACGTCTTGTCTTGGAAATAAAAATGTTGGGACATAAAGCTGAAAAGGGAGAAAAATGAAGCAGTTTCACAACACAATATCTGCAAATCCTTAATAAATCAACACAAAAACATCAATTAAAGACATAACTAATGACATCGTAATTTCAACAACTTCAACACTTCCACAGACTCCTCAAGTTTAAAAACCCATGATTGTTCAATAGCATCTCACTAAATACTCCAACAAAGAACCTCTCACAACCATTTCTTCACCACAAAGTCCCGGAGCATCGAGGAACCAGAACTGTTTCCCGAACGGTTTGTCATGGATCATCATCTACTGGCATTGATGTACAAACTGCGAATAAGTAGACATCATTACTATGTAATTCGGAGAAGGTCAAAAGGTCCGGTAAGGGGGGACACGGGTCCTTTTCTTTAAGAGAAATCGACAATCACATTTCTGAGTTATCGTGGCGAAGTCTTTCTCGGTACCTTTAATGATAATGCCAACACCAATGCAACAATATTGGAGTTTTTCGGTACTTGTTACTCCGTCCAACTTACGGGGTTTTCAAAGGCGTCTTTATTCTTCACCATTACTTCTAAAAGTAGATTATGTGGCTGCTTTATTTTACTTGTGGTTCAACTATCTTGGATGTATGTGTGTCAGTGTGTGTATATACGATGCTTCTACGGAGCTAGACGGAAGATACCTGTACATGATGTGCGTGGCTGGAAGTTATAGAGCTGCGGGGGCATCTCTCATGCTTATATTCAGACTGTTTCGCATGGTTCGTCTACCGATTCCTGCATTACCTTTTTGCATCATGGCAACAAATTCACCATAATCAATTCTTCCATCCTGAAAAAGAAATGCAGTAGTATCAGGGAATCGAAACTTAATCATCAAATGAAGGAAAAAAGAACTGTTCCAACAAAAAAAACAGTGCGGCGAGGATCGAGTATCTGCTATAGCACAAACCCCACAACTTTGTCTAATGTAAATGGACATGTTATCACATCTTGTTATTACCAGTAGCACGCTAGACCATATAAGAAAACAACCATAAAGTTTGATGAAACAAATTAGGTAGCTCAAGAATGTCGTTACCATCCAATTGTGAAGGTAAGATGACTTACATTATCTTGATCAACTTCTCTAATTATATCCTCGAGCAGAACATCGGTCATGTTATGCTCAGCGCAAGCTTGCTGAAGCTCATCAACTGTAATATAGCCACTTCCATCCTTATCAAAGTATCTGAATGCTGCAACGAGATGCTCCTCACGCTCTAGTTTGTTAAGGTGAACCGTTGCAGCTATAAATTCTCCATAATCAATGGTCCCACTATTGTCGACATCAGCCTAAGAACACAAATAAACAAGCTCAGATGATTCGGTTGCAAACATGCAAATTAATACGGGAAATAAGTGACAAGCAGTATAACCACATATTTATGAACACGTATAAGTTGGCATTTAGACATTAGACCATATGAATACAAAGCAAAGCAAAGACATTAAGCAAGAAAAAGAAAAGAAATGAATGAATGATTCAAAAAAGAGCAGTATGGAGAAAGATAAGATAAAAGGACAATGAACCGAATATTTAGATATCCACTTTGTAACAAACTTACAGCATCCATAAGGTCCCTTATCTCCGTATCTTTCAAGGTAGAGCCATATCTTCGTAAACCGGCTTTGAGTTCATCAAATGTGATTGCACCACTGTTATCAGTATCCATAGCTGTAAACATTTCTCTCAAACCAGCAATCTCCTCCTCGGATAGACTTTCAGCTATCACCTGATAGTAAGAAGAGGGCAGAGAAAGTTTAAATCCAACATGAACTTCCAATAACTCTAAAATATCGAGTGCAAAGACATGTTGGAGTGAGGCAGGGAAATATTTGAGAGGAAAAAACGGTGCATTCTTTGTTTAATGACAAACAGCTAGCTTCTGCTGCATCGATTGCATATTAGGCCTTCATGGCACGAAGAAAACATTGTATGATTTATTTGACAAAACCCTTGTTTTACATATACATCCCGTTTCATCTCTCACAATGTGCAGACTGATACACAGATGAAGACTTTGGAACATACACCATCTCAAGAATCTTACCCGTAAAGCCATCTTCTTTAGTTTATTCATTGCTGAGAATTGTTTAAGGCGAGACAGTACAGCTGGATCCAGTGCCCTATCAGGAGCAACCCCATTTTCACCAATCCAAGGATGGCCTAAACGATTCAAAAGAAAATATATTATATGGAGAAGTTAATCTTTTTGTCAGTTCATTAACACCAACTTAGATAATAATTGAGAGGCGGTATATACAACATACATAATACTTCGTGAGCAGTCAGCCGCTCTGAAGGTCGAGAGCATAACATCTTTCTAATTAAGTCCTTTGCACTATCAGATATCAGGGCCATGGATCCGAATCAAAGTCATATATCCTTTTAACACTGCATCAAATATTCCTTGCTGTGTTTCTGAAGAAAAGACAGAATCACTCTTAAGTACAGAATTACTTAAAAACTCTTCAAGTTACATAACCATAAAACATTATAAATACCTGCCCAAAACGGCGGAACACCACTTAGCAATATATAGAGTATTACTCCTGCAGTCCATACGTCTGCTTCTGGTCCATAATGCTTGAGGAGTACTTCAGGAGCAACATAATACGGGCTGCCAACCACGTCGGTAAAAACTTGGCCTAACATGG